AAGAGAGATCATTGAACGTGGAGACGTCGAAATTCAAAGATTGATGGAAAAGAAAATGCTGCAGACCCATTCACTAAAGCACTTGGAGCAAATGAGTTTGACAAGCATAAGTAGAAATTGGGAATGAAGTAAACTTCTAGTTTACGATAGAGTGTGCTTCAACTGTACTAATCTTTGAATAATATAAGCTAGAAGATAAAGTTGGTAACTTTTCTACAATGCACTTCTGACGAGAAACGTTCTTTGTAATACAAAGATATTCCATATTCATTTCATCTATTGTCTCGACATGATATCCATTTCGGAGGATATTTATAAAACTCAACAAGTTTCTTCGGGACTTGGAGAAAAATAATGCATTATCTATTATAAGTTTTGTCCCCTTAGACAGAAATATAGTGGCTCTTCCGGAGCCTTCAATCAAACTTATATTACATAATGAACTGAAATCTCCTCTATTTATAGAAGAAAGGAAGCTGTTGTGTAAGTTGCTTCTGCAAGCTGCTGTGTAAGCTCCTTGTAAGCTGGTACTGTACCAGATATAGATAATATTCTACCGGGAGTGATGTTTATCCATAATAGAGTACCGAAAGGATAAGCTTATTGTACCAGATATAGATAATCTTCTACTGGGGGTAATCTTCTACCAGATATCAGTTTATCTATATTCTTGTCTTTATTTTACAGTCTTTATTTCATAACACGTTATCAACACGAGACTCTTTCATCTCGAGCAAATACTTTGGTACAGTAGAAGATTATCTATATCTGGTACAATGAGCTTATCCTTTCTTTACTCTATTATGGATAAACATCACCCCTGGTAGAATATTATCTATATTTGGTACGAGAGCAACTTACAAGTAGCTTACACAATAACTTGCAGAAGCAGCTTATACAGCAGCTTCTTTTCTTCTATAAATAAAGGAGATTTCAGTTCATTCTGTAATATAAGTTTGATTGAAGGCTCTGAAAGAGCCACTATATTTATGTCTAAGGGAACAAAACTTATAATAGACAATGCAGTATTCTCCTCCAAGTCCCAAAGAAACTTGTTGAGTTTTATAGATATCCGCCGAAATGGATATCATGTTGAGATGATAGATAAAATGAATATGAAATATCTTTGTATTACAAAGAATGTTTCTGGCCAGAAGTGCATTGTAGAAAAGTTACCAACTTTATCTTCTGGCGTATACTATTCAAAGATTAGTACAGTTGAAGCACACTCTATTGTAATCCAGATGTTTACTGATTCAAATATTTTAGTGCTTTGGCATGGTCGTTTGGGCCATTCTGGATCAATAATGATGAGACGAATTACTGAAAATTCGAGTGAGCACCCATTAAAGAACCTGAAGATTCTTACATTAATGAATTTTCTTGTGATGCTTGTTATCATGGAAAAATAATTACTAGAACATCACCAATGAAGGTTGGCATTGAATTCCCTGCCTTTTTAGAACGTATATATGGGAATATATGTGGACTTATTCACCCACCAAGTGGGTTGTTTAGATATTTTATTGTCCTAATAGATGCATCTTCAAGATGGTCTCATGTGTGTCTACTATCATCTCGCAACCTGGCATTTGCAAAGCTATTAGCCCAAATAATTTGATTAAGGGCACAATTCCCAGATTATCCTATAAAGGCTATTCGCCTTGATAATGCTGAAGAATTCTCATCTCAAACTTTTGATGATTATTGTCTATCAGTTGGGATAAAAGTTGAACATCATGTAGCTTATGTTCATAATCAAAATGGCCTTGCAGAGTCATTTATTAAACGCCTGCAATTGATAGCAAGAGTACTACTTATGAAAATAAAATTGCCCACTACTGTTTGGGGCCATTCTATCTTGTATGTAGCATCACTTATCCGTCTCAGACCGACACATTATAATAAATATTATCTGTCACAATTAGTTTTTGGTCATGAACCAGATATTGCCCATCTACGAATTTTTGGATATGATGTATATGTGCCAGTAGTACCACCACAGCGCAGTAAGATAGGATCACATAGAAGGTTAGGAATATATGTTGAGTTTGAATCACCCTCTATTATTCGCTATCTTAAACCATTGACAGGAGATTTATTTACTTCTCGATTTGCAGATTGTCGGTTTGATGACAAATTTCCCACAATTAGGGGGAGAGAAAAAGGAAATCAAAAGAGAAATTGTGTGAAAAGTTTTATCATTATCTCATTTTGATCCACGTACCCCTATATGTAATTAGGAGGTCCAGAAGATCATCTATTTACAAAATATAGCAAATCAAATGCTAGACGCATTTACTGATTTGAAAAGGATAACTAAGTCACATATCCCTGCAGAGAATGTGCCTATCCGAATTGATGTCCCAGCAGGACCATCTACTAGTATGAGCGCTAGTGAACCTAAAGCACGCCTGAAGTATTTTTGTGAATGTTATTTGATATAAAAATATATGGAATTTGATATTCGTTTATCATAGTTATTATTAATTGCTTGATTAATTTAATAAGGTCCTTGATTAAATTTTGAGACTTGTCATCATGATGGAGATCATGATAATGAGAGTAAAGTCTCTTACAATTTAATCTAAATTTTGTTCTTGATCGTAGGATTATTAATTTGGACATTAGTAATCCGGTTAGATCAATATTTATGTGATCGTCTTTATGGGATAAAGATTAGTTGATCTCATTAACTAAATAATATAAATAGATGATGCATATAGAGATATGATCATTGAACCAATTCATTGGATAATTACTAATGGTTAGAATTACCATAAACTGTCAATAGAATATTCTCTTAAAGAATATGATGTAAGAATTTCCTTTGACCTGATATCATGATAGTAATTGACAAGTTATTTATTGTGCTTTGATACTAGACACTTATGGCCCTAGGGCGATAGTTGAAAGGATATTGGGTACGATTAAATACTTGTAGAATTAGTGATTGATCAAGATGGAATCTGTCAACTCTTGGTAAGGAGTTTAAGCTCCATGTTGTTATAAATTATAACCGACCAAACAAGACCTTGGCCGGGGCGATTGAATGAAAGAAGAAAGGAGTTTCTTAGGTCATTCAATGGTAGATTATTTTTGACATGAATACATAGTCGGCCGCCTATTAGGATTTGACAGTTGAACCATATCCTAGGGTGACCCAGAGCTATAAGGACAGAAGAAATTAATGCATTATTCTTCTACAAGTTCTTGAGAGTAAATTATATACCTCATGTTATTCGGTCGTTAAGGAGTGTTGCTAGACGCCACCCTTGATTAGTATATTGATGTGATCAATTTACTACCGGTTTAGTATTGAACCTATGGGGTCGCACACTAACGAGTGTTCTGATCTTTGCTAAAGGATTAATTACTTTATTATTTGATAATTAAATTAAAGAATTTAATTAGTCAAATAAATTTAGTTATTAGTCCAAATAAAATATTATTATATTCTTTGCTAGAACAGAGGATATAATTAATATTGTGGACAAGTTGAAGTTTTCTATTTTAAATAAGAAAATTAAATTACATCTCTTGGTTGATATATTTATATGCACTTGGTAATTATAATTAATATTTGTAGAATTCAATTTAGAATTGAATTCCATAAATTAGTTACATATTTTTTTAATATTTACCATAAAGCATGTTATTTGTATTTTTCAATGAAAATTAGGTGTATATATATGTGTGAGTCCTAATTAAGAATGAGGGTAAAAATATATCATATACATATTGTAAAAACTAAGAGAGTTATTCTTGAGAAGAAAATTACTTTGAGAAAGTAATAGTGCAATACAAAGCAAGATAGAAAATACTAGTACAAGAAAATTATTTCTTGTTCTTCTACCTTTGAATTGAGATTTTTGAGAAAAATTTCAACACAATATTTTCAATCAATTTGTTCGCGGAATTTCATTGATCAAAGAATTGATAGCAGGGATTGTTATTGTCTTCCGCTGTGTGTTATGAACACCTCTATGCAATCCGACAACATCTGCAGTCCAGGTATTAACGTTTTAGCTTCATTTACCTTTATTGCCTTCAGGATATTTAATAGGCATTTGACTGGTGTATTAACAATGGTCACAACATAAAACTAGAATCACACTCTCTAAAAACCAGACCACTGATAACAAAAAAGATGAAGAGAAGCATTGAAGACATTAATTACTCTGGAGCAAATTTCCTACTATTATTTTAGTCTGCAACATCTTCCAGCTGGTGCAAGAAGCCATTTTTACAAGAACCAAACTCATAGTTACGTTTTATATCTCTGTTTACTCTATCTGTTGTTAACTCTTTTTTTTTTTTTTTTTTTTT